GCAAATAATATCCCTCATCTCTTTTAACACTATAGGTAAGATGCCATCAGGGCCCTGTGATTTATTTATTTTGAGCTTACTGTAGCTAGGCTTTGCTAAGTCAGCTTCAGTTATATATATATTATTTATAGACGATGCTGGATTAGTAATTAATTAATTAATTAGAATTAATGTTCATTCTTAACAAAACTTGCCACTATCGTAAGAAAAACTGCGCGGTTCCCTCACTAAAGCCTCAAAACTGCCACGCAACACTTCCTGAAAATAAAAGTGTGACCCGCGTTAAGGTGATGGATTTCAAACATATCAAGAACATAAATCCGAGTATAAAGAAACGCATCCTTGACCCATAAATTGTACATAAACATCTAAACGTATACAGTCTTTACCATTTATAACAGTCCCATACTTTATACCTTTTATACATAATAGAAACAACATTAATACCATACAAAATGCTTCGGCTCCCACAGCATACATTATCTATTTATTAAAACTGCACAGGCGGAAATGGGCACTTTTGACTGGGGTTCCCTGGGACCCCAAAACATTTGTGTTTTTAAAAAGCAGCAATTAAAGCAGAATAGAAAACAATGATTTTACATCATTAGGAACAAATGTATTGACAGTCATGAAATGTAATTATTATTTTTTTTTAAATCACCTGTGAGATACCCCTGTTGGTAAGATGAGGGTTATGCCCTCTCTTCTATTACTGGCATATTTTCATCGAGACTTTTTGAAAGCATTGAAATATTTTTTTTTTGTTGAAAATTAATAATCTGTATGTCTGTTTAAATAACTACACATAGATTATATCTAAAACCTTGATCCTCCTGGGATCCCAAACACAATCTTCTTCCAAGCCGCTAGGAACCATTCCGCAGTTGGGTGGCACCCAGGCTGAGTCATATCCGTGCTGATGCCAGGTTTTTTGGAGGGGGTGTCCCTGCCGGTCGATCTTCTTTACTTTTCCTAATCGAACCCTCAGCTTGAGTACAGCTCTTCGCTCATTGAAGGGTAGAATTAATGGGTATCTTCGGGCCTTGTCAAAGCTCCGACTGACATAGACTCCAGGTCCAAGCATGCCATCTTTGGACCGCTGAAATCCGTGCTTCTTAATACTTAATGCAGCTGTTCCTGTGGTACCATGGTACATCATGTACGTCCTACTACGTCTCCGTGTGTCAAGCTCCAAGGAGGATTCAAAAACTGTGCAGAAGTCATCTGCAAATCCATCCATGCATGCCATACTTTACTCTGAAAACCAGTAAATTTGCTTTAATAAATAGCTGTTTTCTGTACAAGCAAGAACAATTTAGTATCAATATAATTACTGGACAGAAAACTAAATTTGACTATAGTTCATGTTAATTCAGATATTAAGTTTAATTTTAATGATGTTTTATTATACAAATAAATGTTAACATTTTATGTTATATTCTAAACCAAATGAAAGAGAATAAGACCATGGAGGAGCACACTTACCTCTTCAACTAAAAATCCACTTCAGAGTAAAGTCACTTCAGACCAGTGAATCAAGTTTTTGCTGTAGTTTCAGCTTCACTTACACTGAAACATAGACACGTTATATAGACTGCTTTGTCACACCCTTTTTGCATCACGGAAAGAATTTCTCCTCCTCACTTCTACAAATTAGACTAAAAATACATAGAAAAGCTTTGCATGCTTGATTTCATAAACAGAAGATATAAAAATAACCTAAAATGAAATTATTGCTTTAATTAAAGGTGAGAATTGTTCTCAACAGTTTTATTTACTATTCACAATTAGGGTACAAGGTAGGATTTGGTTCTGTATTCTTTCTCAAAAAGTAAAGAAAGCTTCTGTAATATATATAGGGTGTCCAAAAAGTCTCTACAATTTCAAAAGTGTATTACAAAGGCAATTGATGAGATATCTTCATCAGATTTGTTCTATGTACTCAGTGGTTATCAGAGTTTTTAATCACATTGCAAACAAAGGTACGGGACATCACTAATCTAAAGCAGAGGGTCACTGATGCCATTGCCACCACTGATGAGGGTATGCTACAGCGAACATGGCAAGAAATGGAGCACCGTCTTGATGTGCTTC